AAGCAGAGAATACTTTATTTCGCGAGAAAGTCGCTGCTTTACCAAAAAAAGAAATTACAGGACGAAATAATAGTATACATATGTATATTATAATAATTATTACTTTATTAATAATTTTTACGCGGTTCAAAATTTAAATCCAACATTTCTTTGAAATAGACACTGTAGCTGTAAAATCGACTATAGTATATACGTCGACTTTAATTTATCAACAATTTACTGCTTTAAATGTTGTGTTTTGGTAAAGCAGCGACTTTCACGCGAAACGAGATATTCTGTACTTAAAAAAAAAGAAATATGTAACATTGGTCGTTTATGCCTCTCAAACTCTCAATACTGAAAATAGCTGCTATATTTTCGAAACTTTTTTTGTTAATAACTTTTTAACGAATAACGACCGCCGGCTAAAAACTTCTGAAGGTCACTCAGGAGGGTGACCTTGACAACATATGTCAAGGTCAAGGTCATTGAGGTCTTTTTATGCATAATTACTCTGTTTTCTCTAGAAAACACAATAGAAATCTATAAGGAAATAACTAAATAATTCTGATCGGAATCTATTCCAAAAAATTCTGCGTTCTGCTAATGGAATATAATGGCAGATTGACTGCGGAAACTGAGCAGAATCTGTTATTTAAATGATGTACCTATTCCATTTAAATGTTTACGAAATGACAGATTCTGCTCGATTTCCGCTGACAATCCGCTGTCGAATTATATCAACAGGCTCGGCAAATCACAAGTAGATGATACAGGATCTGTTACAATATCTGAGCAAATCTGTTATCATACTGTGGATAGTTTGCTTGGGGAAATAAGTCTCTTAAGTTTTTAAAATATTTTTACGAATACAATACCAAACGTTTCTGTGTTAACGATTTGATTTAATCCAACATTCTGATGTTGAAGGGAAGCAGCAATGGCTCCTATAATAGCACCTGGAGCAATAGTTCCATACGACGTAAGAATCACTCCGTATTCCCTCGGACAATTCCATAGATTAGCAAATAAAACTCTATCTATATCACAATTCAGTTTAATTCAAAATTTTTTATAAAAAGTATATATAGTATATAAAGGTATTTGAAAATAAATGGCATAAAAACGCATTACTTGTTAACTTTTGACCAATCTCTTCACATAATGTACTCGTGCCGCGTGAATCTTCTTTCATTATTGTATTTGAGATAGCTTGATGTAAAGTGCACTGTTCTATCGCTGTGAGTGCATCGAACGGAAAAAGTTCCGGTTTTCCTGGAACCATTTCCTTTATCAATTTATATTTGACACTTTGTCTTCCAGACTGTCCAAAAGGAAGTATTCCATCTCTTTCTTGTACATCTTTATAATGTTTGATGCCATCAAGCTTAAATCTAATACGCATGAAAAAAGGAATATAATACATATGCATGGAGTATAATACATATATAGGGTAACTCCGATATATACGCCGTAGCTAAGGGAAACTTAATTTATCGAGTACTATTTACTATGTTTAAGGCAAATAAATTATTCCAATAATTTATTATTTATACTGTCTACTACTATAAAAAAATAGAAATATGAAATATTCATTCTTTGTATTTAATTAACAAAAACTTTTAGAAACCTTTGCATTTTTGCCATATATCCCATAGAGGTGGGATAAATGACATTCATGGGTGAAATATACGCCTTATAAAAAATTACAAGTAATGTTTATAAATAAGGCAATAAAATTAAGTTATAAAATGTGTAAAAAGTTTATTAAGGCGTAAGAATGATAAACCAATTATAAAACTGAAAGATTTTAAAAAGAAAATAGAAGAACGATAGGATGCATTAAAATTTATTGTTATACGATAAAAAAAAGAAGGAAAAAGAACACAGAAGATTTTGATTTTTACGGAGTGTCTGTACTATGGCATAAATCCCGCACGCTAAAAATGTCGATCGTATATCCTAAACAGGTGGAATGTACAAGATATCAAGCTAAACAAAGAATATCAGTGCTGTGCACTTGTATTTTGCTGTATTCCATCTTTTACTATCCCTCTACACTTATGTTTCATGAAAAAACCTTTTATTACATTCCCTATACAGTAATCATTTTACGTAGGTCGTAATATATGATCGTGCTACTTACTACGGTGAGAAATCGATTCAACTCACGACGGTTTCGTTAATATTAACAGTAAGGAACTGAAATTACAACACAATATTAATATGACATAGAGGCACATAACAGTATAATTGCGAGCAAGTATCTTTCTTCCTTCTTTTTTTTCTGACTTCTGCGGCGTAAATCCTCGCGCGGCGTAAATACCGGAGTTACCCTATGTATACATACATTGCACCAACGCAATAATGCAATATATACACAAAGGAAGATCCAAAGTCCTTATAAACAAGTTGAGTTTATAAAACACAAACTTTACAATTAATATTATACATATAAAAATATTACATATCAATAATATTACATATATGTATATTCTTCCCTTTCCATATATTCCTACTTTTCATACATATAAATATAACATATGTAATAATTTATCAATACTTTATCGTATATAATAGGGGTATTCAAATAAGTTAAAGTTTAACGGTTTGACAGGTTAGGTCGGGTTAAAGTCGAGTAAAAAATTAATTAATTAACTTTGGGCGCGCTACTCTTTAAGGTTATGCAAAATACATAAGTGACTCATTAACCTATCACATTAATCTTTGGGTTAAAAGTGTAAAAATTAACTTTTTACCCAACTTTAACCCGACATAACCTGTCAAACCGTTAAACTCTAACTTATTTGAATACCCCTAATATGAATTATAAAATGTTAAACTTATTCTTGGTAAAAATTTTTTTTTAAATTTACGTGATTTTCCAGAAATTCTATTTAAATTTCAGAATTTTTCACAACTTTAATATAAATTTTATAACTTTTTAGAAACATTTCACAGATTTTATATACTAATTAAAATGCTTTTCAGAAATGTTGACAAAGTGTCTATAAAAAATTTACGTCACGTACACTATAGATTTACTAGTAGTGAATATGGGAACGTATAGCCCTCTTTTCTAAAATTCTTCCTACATGTGAATTCTAAAATATTCCAAGATTTCTCATTCTATATTTTCCGAAAACACATTCGCAAGACACGACATTCACGTTTACACGATATTCTTTATATGTTTGTAATTAGAAAATCGGATATTATATCGATTAACAATGTAATACATAGTCAATAGCAAACCAAATATTTTTCAAATTGTTTTTCTCAGAAAATACGTACACATTGTATATTTTTTACTAAAAAAAATATCAAAATAATTTATAAATCGTTTTGTTTCTTAAAGTATTGTTTAATTATTATGCAATACATATGTTTCAGTCTATTACTTATAAAAATGATCACGTCCAAATAATTATTTTATAAAATATCGCGTTTATTTTTTGAAATACTTAAAAGTATATTATAAATATTCAAATTTATAGATTTTTCAAAGTCAGATTTTTTTACAATAAAATTATTATATTTATTTATCATTATAATTTTTCGGAATATACATTTATGTTGAGTACCCTCAGAATATTCTAAATTAAATTAATATATGTGAAATATATCTTCTGACTATGCAACGATTATGCATGCCCTTTGAATATTCTTGAAAGATTCAAAATACGGATATGAATGGAGTGTTTTTTTTTTTACTAACATTTAAATACACTTTTACATTCTGCAAATATTTCTGAATATATCCAGAATATATATTCTTAGAATGTTACTTCAGAATTATTATTTCATTATGAAATTCGTATGAACGTTATTTCTATGAATATTTCAAGAATATTTAGTATTAGCCTAGATGTTATTTATGAATTTGATTTACGTCGAAAGCTTCGTACCTGTGCATCAGGGAGGATGACATTGTTCTGATATCCATCGTAGAGTAAGAATATGTCTCTGCTTTGCGAATGATATCCAGCAGGACGCGCATGTTCATGGGAAGGTGAAAATCATGCATGTTATTATTCACGTAACATTCCTTAAACTCGTCCGGTATGCGGAGTTGAGATTCCGTCGGACTTATTCCTGGGAGAAAGTTTGAGATGTTGACAATTTGACGCTGAATATTATTCATATTCGTCAATTATCGTGTTTTATTTAAATAATTCACACCACACCCTCGTTAGCTTCTTATCTTACCATAGAATATAAGTAAAATTATGAAAAAAATCCATCCTCTTAGTGACAAGATATTGCCACTTGCGACGCTCAGTATAACGCTCATGTTTCACCTGATTCGTATACTTTCCAATGACTCACGCACACATCCATTGTGCGAGAAGATATAGTAAGATTACGTTCTACTTTAATGCTGATAAGATAGCTGTGACTGCGCAATCTGCGCTTGTTAGATTTATATATATTACGAGTTGAAATTTTCCCTAAGAAAAAAGTATTAGCTCGACTAAAATTAGATCTGTTTAATCTGTTTAATTGTGTTAAATTCTATTAATATGCTCTTATCTCTCGTTTATTAACAAAATTTTAATCCAATTCTATTGATCTGACGGCAACATGGTGCGTCCAAATGCGGAGGAATGATTGTCAAATAATTTTACGTGCGATTTCGTGACAACTAATTTTACAAAGTAATATAAATCTCATAATATATTTATGAAACGATTGGATTTCGATCTGTTCTCTAATAAGGGTCATGTCTACGATCGAGTGGGGGTAGATTACTCATAACATATCGTATCTTATCTGTTGATAGTGATGGTAGGTGTTACTATGTCTCTAAAAAGGTGTGGTGTAGTACCTCGTTAAGTGAAACCGAAGGGTTAGCGTGTCTTTCTTACATAAAAGCAGCAACAGCGTGAGAGAGTCGGGTAAGTTTCCTGAATTTTCAAATGCATTTACATTTCTTTCTCTGATATTAACTTAAATGGAAATATTCGATTCGGGGGAGACGAAACTATTCTATATTTTCCGTTTTTTACAGTCGCAAAATGATTATATTATATTCCTGGATTATTCTATTTACTCTTGGTAAGAAATTTATTATTTCAATTTACGATGCGCAATTAATTTTGCTGTACAATATCCCTGGTGAAAAATTTTCTTGAAATTCTGCACATCATATTTCAGAACTCTCATATAAATTTTATAATTTTTTAGAAAATTCGTTAGACTTTTTATACAAATGGAACACTTCAAAAATGTTGAGAAAGTCTATAATCTCTTTTCTGAAATTCTTTCTATGTGTGAATTTTGAAATATTCCAAGATATCTCATTCTACAATTTTTGAGGAAAACTTTTAAAATCTGAAGATGTTAAGGTATTTTTTTTAGAAATTATAAATTTAAAACATGAAAAATTCTTAAAAATTATTGCAAGTGTAGTATTATTGCAAGTATCTTATGCAAGTGTTTCTTCACCAGGGATATTTATTAAAAATGGTTTAAAGTTAATACAAGTTAAAACATAAAAAACTGTCGATATATGTATATATAATAAATTTTAATAATTTACATGCATTTATATATATATATATATATAACACAAAAGTCGTTTTTGTTCGACCCGACTGGCCAAATAATAAATATAT